AGAGGCTGTAAGATCTCGCGTTTCAAAATTCTCTCCGTCCACGCCACAGCGATCGTGCGGTCCCAAAACCCGAAGAATTCAGCCCAAGGAATCGGCCCGATGTTTGTTTCTCATTTTTCAGTGTTCGGCCTCGCGTTGTGTTCGCAATTCGACACCGCCAGCCGTGCGGCGCCGATCCTGGTGGAACGATGTATCCGCGCCTTCGAGGAGCAGGCGTTCGCCGACACGACGCTGGATCTCTACAAAGTCTACCACAGCAGCCCGCCTAATGAGCATACCCTCGAGCTGCGACAGAAGCTGAACGAAGGTAAGACGAGCGGCGGCGCGCCGTGCCGTGCCGTGCCGTGCGGCCGGCCGGCAAGTCGGACCGCGCGATCGCGCGTTGCTATAAATAGCCGGCAGTCATGCCACGATGTTCGGCTCGCGCGTTGCAAAAATGTCGAGGCGCGCCACCAGATGCACGCTGCATTGTGGAGGAGTGGAGGGCCGCCTTTTCCCTCCTCCGCGATGCCGGGAGGGCGCCAGAAAAGCGCGAGCGCTCGTTTTGCGCGACAGATCGAGATTTCAGGGACAACGAACGGGGAGCGAGCGGAATTTGCGAGCTCCTCATCTCCGGCTCTAACGGACAAAGATCCCGGTTGCATATTCCCGCACATATTTAGCGTTAAACATTTATACGTACACATCCCCGAAACTTCCTTCAAGGTTCTCGCCCGACCGTTTTGCATGACATATGAAATCAGTTGTTTTCAAAGTGTTAGGTAAACTTTTATATTTTCCGAGAGAGATACTGGTTATTCGCATTAACGTCACGCTTAACACGTCGATTGATCTACTTAACGTAGGAAAATTATGTTCCACGAATTGAGAATTATTATATTCGCTTACAATCGTTATTTTAATATACATATAAATTAATTTCCATGTCTTTGTAATAAATTAAACTACTTGTGAATATGGGCGTATTCAGAGAGGAGATTTTTGAACTTCTTTTAAACCTTCCTTCGAAATTTTACATTTTAAAGTTATCAAAATATTACATTATCATCATTATCGCATAATTTTTTAATTCTGTAAATTTCATTAAATGATCTCTTACTTGTCTTTTCATCATTCTTTCTTTTTTGTTTTAATTTTAGTTTTTTATATTTTTAATATTTAGTAATGTTTCTTATAAAGTAAACCTTTCTATGTTCTCTTTTAAATTTTTTTTAATTCCTTTTTCTAGAAAAATAATTATTTTGTATGTAATAACAATAGTAATGTTAAAGATTTATATATTTCGTTTTTAATATAATTGTATTTTATTTATACTCTCTTCAGGAGAAAATAGAAAATGATTTACAAAGCCTAATATTTTTCTTTAAAATCAGGGATGAGAAGATTTTTTTGAGTTTTAAAATATCCAAAGAAGTAATTCATAAAAAATTAATTAAAATAAAAATTCGTCTGAAAAAAAATCCTGAATATATCCATACTTGTAAAACTTGAAGGAAGCATTATAGATAGCTTGAAGTAAAAACGAATGCGAGATTTCCTATTAATTAACTTTTGTTTTGTTCTAAATTATTCGTGCGAAAATAATTATTAACATATAAGCGTTAGTAACTTCGAGCGATTAAAATTTCAATCGTATATAATATGTATAATATTTTCAGATGTTTATAATGCTGATTTAAGTCCGTACACACCCCAATGTATTGCCAGTGTCCTGAAAAAGTTCCTGCGTGAATTGCCAGATCCAGTAATCCCGGTGCAGTGGTACGACAGATTTCTGGATGCGTCAAGTGAGTATACACTTTCTAGTTAAATACTTTTTTAAACCGGTTATCACCGGTTTTCAATCGATAGCATAATCCGCCGTTCAACTCTGTTAAATCTCCGAATCTGTTTTCGTTTCGCAGATATGAGAAATAATGACGAGCAGTGCGCGAAGCATCTTAATCAATTAGTAGCTGAGCTACCGGAGCATCATCGTAGCACATTGTGCTATTTGATGGCGCACTTTTGTCGCATTTGCCAGTTGCAGCACGGAAGGGGTTACACGGAACCACCGACCATCCTTGTGCAAATGCTCTGCCATATATTTCTCAGGCCGCCCTGGGATCGAATCATGTGAGTGCCATGTGGATTTCTCTAATCTTAAGGGAAGGGTTGAAACCGCGATTCATATGATTCCTTTTTTATCGACGATACGACGATAGTGACTGCCGAAAAGAACAAAAACCATCGGAACATTCGTGGACGCTTTCCATCTCGTCAACTAACGAACTAATTAAATTAAGAGAGCAGAGACTTTCTAATTTACTAGTATATCTACTAGAGTAATTTAGTTTCTTCTCGCAAAAATCGAGCAAATATCGAACAGATTCCGATGTATAATATTATCATATAACTATATAATACTGTTATAACAAAAAATAATTAACTGGTTATACGACTATATTATTATTATTAATAGATAAGATTACTTGACTGAATACCCGTAATACTTGATTACGGAATTTAGCACTTTGCACTGCGCAATTTTACAGCCAAGTCGTTCATAACACGGAGGCACACATACGCATAATGGAATTACTGTTGTTGCACGGCGATTGGAACGAGAGGCTACCGGAGTTTGCCAGTCCTCCGCAATTGCCTCCGCGTAAAGTTTCGAGACCGCTGTTTCCGATTTTTGGATCCATTCCCGGTTCTCGAAGACGAAGTTGTAGACAGAACGGCACCTGGTGCAGATACTGGCAAAGACCAACAGTCGCACAGGTGATTTTCAAATTCGCTTCTGATCTCAATCCAAATCTTAATCTAAGTTACAAATTTGTTTCTAGTTCCAACATTTTCTACATTGGACGCTAATTCTGATGTTCCTCTCAATTTAACTTTAAATACGATATGTTTATTTCTATTATTTGTTTTCCTTTTATACGAAATTCTCTTGACTCCTTCACATTATTTGTAACTATATGTGGCACGGATGGCTGCTAATTGTAATTATCATCGAAAAAATTCTAGACCACGTACGCTACAGGAGGCCGAATGGTATTGGGGTAACATCACGAGGGACGATGTGAACGAGAAGATGATCGACTCGCCGGATGGTACCTTCCTGGTACGTGACGCGTCTTCCAAGTGCGGCGAATATACTCTGACGCTGCGTAAAGGCGGGACCAATAAACTCATTAAGATCAGCCACCGAAACGGGAAATATGGTTTCTCGGATCCCTACAACTTCCACTCGGTCATCGAGTTGGTTGACTACTACAGAAATTGCTCGCTCGCGCAATACAATTCGGTGCTGGATATCAAGCTGCTCTACCCAGTCTCGCGATTTCAACAAGTATATTCTTTGAACTTTCGATTGATCGACAAAATGATTTTATTACGTTCTCCTTTAAAACTATCTTTCTCATTTTTCGATAAAGCAGGATGACGAGATCGCAAATACAACCGACATGACAAAGGTTGCACAGAAATACGTTGAGCTAGAGAAGGACATAAATGATACGGTTCGGCAATATCAACACTGTTCGGATCTATATAGCAAAACGGCCAATGAAGTTCAGTTGAAACGTCAGGCGCTGGAAGCCTTCACAGAGGCAATCAAGATGTTCGAGGAACAAATGAAGCTTCAAGAAAGATTTCAGAAGGAAGCTCAGCCTCATGAGATTTCTACGTAAGCGCCCTTGTTTCCTCTGATATTTTTTAAAATATATTTATATTTCTTTTTTATGAAACTTTTTAAAAGAACTTTTAAAAGAAAATTCGATATATATTGTTTTATTGTGATCTGCACACATCTTGCATTTCGATAATAACATTCTCTTAAGATTTCATTTCACATATAAAAGACAACGAAATGGAAATTATTAATCGTATTATTATGTTTAATTACAGTTTGACAGACAATTCGGAGTTGCTGAAGAGAAGACTAAAAGCCTTAGAAGACAGTAAGGAACAACTAGATGACAGTCTGAAGCAACAGATCGCTTATTACAGAACTCTTGAAAGAGAAATGTATAGGCTAAAATCGGAGATTGGAATGCTCGTGCGGCAAAAAGAGCGCCATTTTACGTACGTATTCTGTTTTCATTTAAGTCTGTAAGCCAAAAATTTCTTTTTTGTTTTTATATCGGGAAACATCGATATAATTTATTCATTTTAAACATTAATAGATGGTTAAAGAAGAATGGGATGAAGCAAAACAAAGAAGAAGTGGATTTTGCGGTTCATTCCGATGAGAAAACGTGGCTCTATCTGCAGGGTTCTCGTCCCGATGCCGATCATATTTTAAAAGGTCGGCCTGACGGTACTTTTCTCATTCGCCGATCAAGAACGGGCCAATACGCGCTTTCTATAGTGTAAGTATTTCTCTGTCTTAATCTTAAATAATATGTATTTCCAATCAGAAAATTAGAAGAAACCTTTACAGATACAGTGATTATAATAAATAATATAAAAGGTGTGAATTATTTAAAACAAAAATTAATTTCTTTCTCAAGGTTTCCTTTGAGAAATCAAATAATTCAGTTCTAAAGATTGTAGCTTGTTGGCTGCGAAGATTTGTGTGATTATATGTTATTCGTGAGAATCGTGAATGTTACAGATGCAATGGCACGGTTCAGCACTGCATAATATATGCCACCGAGCGTGGCTACGGTTTTGCCGAGCCCTACAACATCCACGAGAGCCTGAAACATCTAGTGCTGCATTATGCCCAGAATTCCCTCGAGGAGCATAACGAGTGCCTGACTACCACTCTGGCCTATCCCGCGTTTGCACCGCCTGCGGCACTCGCGCAGCTGCAGGCCCAGCAGAAGCAGCTGCAGATTCATATTCAGAATCAATCGCCGTTTGCACGACCACCCCACGAGAATCAACTCGTCATGCCGCACACATAATATTGGCCTGTCGAGCGTCGCGATCAGGATCCGCTCGAGTCTGAGTACGTTCATGCATGTGCGCACACCCACACGTGAATTCTGCTGCTACAAGCGTCATTCGCCGACGTGATCGACTGAAATCGACAGAAATCGACTGTATTGCGCAAGCCTTCCTTGACAAGTTCGAACACGTTTTGCTGCGAAACAGAATGCTCCTTCGTTCGGAATGTTTCCTAAAATCGCGTACAATAATTATGCGTATGTTTTACAGTGAGAGAGGAAACAACGTCGCGCAGATTAATATCGTGAAAGCGCGCAATCGAGTGTCGCGGTTGTTTAATTATCATCGAACAATAGGTAGATCGCAAGGTCTCCAAAAACACGGAACACTTCGATGAAGCTACAATAGCCATAGTAATCGTAAGAAGTACTAGCGATAGAATTAGATATATACGTGTATTATCGTGATGCGATAAATCGCTTCGATTAACGCAGGGGTTCCCAAACAGCGCATCATAACACCCCGAAGAGGCACTCATGTTTGGGAGAATGCAGAAATAAGAAACAAGTGAATTGATTTTGAAAAATAGCTAGGAAAGCCGAACTACTTTTTTATATTGACGGCTGAATGTGACTAAATACGTATTTGAACATTTTATAACTGCTATTTAGAGACAGTTTTAATATGTAAGGCTTAACTTTGTTGAATCTTATTCCGTAAATATGATAAGGATAAGTAAACACGAGAGGAGATTTGAAATTTGATTTCTATTTTCTACATATGTGATAAAAAACAATTAAACGTTTCATGTACACACTTTTGTTAACATTATCACACAAATGAGACACAAAGAATAGATATCAGATTTAATAAACTGTTAAATTAGAAAAGTTTGGGAACCTCTCGATTAACAGGACCAACAATATCAATGACAGATGTCACTCTCCCTCAGGGTTTACACAACGTGGAGAGGTTTGCATTGCAAGGGTCGACACTACAATGGGGTTATAACGTTTCCATCATCACTGAGATTTTGTTCTTCGAAACAAAATCTGTTTTTGATCTTGACGGTTATAATTGCGCAGAATTGATTCGCTCCAAAGTGTCACCATTATTAAAAAGACGTTATCAAATCAGCGACCGGGATAGCAAGGTCCGCTTTGTTCGCATAGATTCCATTATTCAGGTAATCAGGGTAGTCGTACTTCATATAATCGTCTAACCCTTAACAGTCTGAATTTTTCCCAAATGCTGATTAGCTCGTATCGAGCGATCATTTAATTTGAAATTAACTTTAAGTTAGTAATTTGTTATTATTCAGCCACATAGGATAGCTATCTATCGCGTGTACGTGTAATAATGTGCTTTTTTAAAAAAATTGTTAAAATATTGTAAAAATTATTTATGAAAGTCTAGTATATTTTTTCAATTGCTATAATTATATGTCGCCATCACTGAACGAATGTTTATGTGTAAGTAAAGCTTACTGTATAAACATATTAACTATATAAACATATTTCATGTGTTTATATAAGTCACAATCATAATTTTTTGTGAAATAAATACGAATCACGTTCTACTCGTTACTATTTAATATCTTTTATAATTACGTTTAAATTACGTTTTATTATTTTTTTGAAAATTTTCGTTTGATATATGAGATGTATATCAACTCTCGCGTTACATGAATCAAGATTTGCAACGTAACCATGTTATATCTAGTACGATCATTTTAGGCTTTTAAGGGTTAAACGTAGTGATTCATAAATCGAATAACGGTCACTTCTTTGTTATTCGAAACTTCCAATCGCTTCTCTTGCGAACACGATTTGCGACTCCAACGAAGGACGCGTGATTCTCATAAACGGCGTTTTCTCTTTTTTTTTTCGATACGCTGAATTACGATAGTGATATTAGAACGTAGTCAAGCGAAATTCACGTAAAACCACAAGGCGTATTTATACCATTTTATAATAACCGAAAAGCTATTAGCGAGAATCTCGCAGGTTCATTTTTCCCGAAAAGAAATTTAAAGGACTGTTCCATGAAACGTTATCAAATGATACAATATACATTGTAACATGTATAATTATATTTCAAATTTCCTCAAGTCGTCGAAAGATTGAACTCGCTCGATTCTCGTAGCTAGATCTTCGAGTTAACTTGCGAAAATGAATCGAACATCTCCGTTCGGCCTTCCTCGATCGCGTCCCGCAGCGGATTGCGACGAAGTTTCC